CATTTTCCCAAAAAGGGGGGATATGTTAATTTTAATGTGATTAATAGAAAAGATGCAATTTTTTTTCCATCTAAGTTTGCAGAATCTCCTGAATTCTACGCATGGATCCTTTGAAGGTCTGTGACTCCAAGGTCCTATCATTGTCCCAATATTACCCTGACAATAACAATTTTTTCCCCGCATTCAGGGAAAAAAAAACTTTTTCTTGGGTAGAACATGCATTTTTAAAAATATATCTTTATTGATTTGAGAGAGAGGAAGGAAGAGGGAGAGGAGAGTTGAAACATCAATGATGGGAGTCATTGATTGGCTGCCTCCTGCACGCCAGACTGGGGATTGAACCTGCAACCCGGGCATGTGCCCTGACCAGGAATTGAACCTCGATCTCCTGGATCATAGGTCGATATTCAACTGCTGAGCCATGCCTGGCAGGCAGAACATGTATTTATGTATTCCATGAAACACTCAAAGTTTAGGTCAGTGGGAATTAATTTTGATCAAAGAATTGTACCTTTCCTTCTCACACACCTCACTTTGTATTAGGAAATGACATTGTAATTCATTTCACTATATTACAAAACATTTGCAAGAAAATATTAAAAGCCCTGGCCGGTGTGTCTCGGTTGGATTGTCGTCTAGTACACCGACAGGTCATGGGTTGGGCTCCTGGTCAAGGCACATACCCAGGTTGCAGGCTTGGTTAGGGCATGTGTGGGAGGCAACAGATCAATGTTTCTCTCATGTTGATGTTTCTGTCTCTCCTCCCCCCACCTTCCTCTCCCTAAAAGCAATAAAAAAAAACTCAAACACAAAAGGCAAGATGGGGTAAAATAAACTTTTTCCCCAAAAATGTCTGTGTGATCACACATTACCTTGAGTTGTCATAGTTCTTTGATCTTTAATTTGAAGCAGTTCCCTGTTTTGAAGAAGACAGGCCAGAATTTCCCTCTATGTGAGTTAGTGGTTTCTTCCTGATCAAATTCAGGTAAGCACTGTTGAATGTCAGAAGTGATTGTGTGTCCTTCTTGCACATCAGGAGGCAGGACATCATTTGTCTAATTACTGAGGATGCTCACTTTGATCACTTGGTAAAGGGAGTGCCCTCCACATTTCTCCTCTGTAGATTTACTATTTCTCCATTTTAAAATTTATTTTAAGGGTACGTTTATTAAAGCTGGGAACAGCCCCGCCAGTGTGGCTCAGCAGTTGAGCATCAACCTAGGATCCAGGTGATCCGGGTTCGATTCCCAGTCAGGGCACATGCCCGGGTTGTGGGCTCAATCCCCAGCCAGGGGCGTGCAGGAGGCAGCCAATCAGTGACTTTCTTATCATTGATGTTTCTCTCCCTCCCCTTTCCTCTCTCTGAAATCAACAAAGACATATTAAAAAAAATAAAAAATAAAAATAAAAAAGAACTGACAGGTACTCCTATATACTCTTAAAAAAATTTTTTTTTTAAAAAAAGCTGGGGACAGTGAAACAAGGGCTTAGGACAGGAGAATCAACAGGAGAGAGTCTAGGTGGGGTGCCTTTGGCTTTCTAGAAATGTTATGGGAAAGAAGTGAGCCAAGGCGGGCTGCTTTAGCTCACCGGGGAGTCAGAGAAAAGGGTGCCTTGGAAACAGGTTCAGGAATTAGCCCACGACGAGCTGCAGCTGCCCACTGCTCCCCTGATTGCAAGCCTTGTGGGGTCCCTTAGGGTTTAGGAGATGCATGCCTGTGGGGAAGAAGAGGGGAAGGGAAAGGCATAAGCATGCTCCCAGGTGGGAGAGCATGCCACCATTTCCGCATTTTAAAGCATATATACTTTTGTTAATTTTTAGAGAGGAAGGTAGAGGGAGAGAAACATCAGTTGGCTGCTGCCTGCATGTCCCCTGCCAGGGTTCAATCGGGAATTGAACCGGCAACCTTTTGGTGCATGGGTTGATGCCCAACCGAGCCACACCAACAAGGGCTGTCAAAAAAACAAACAAACAAACAAAAAATAAGGGCTGTCAGAGAATTTTAATGTCCTTTTACTTCTGATCAAGTCTCACTCCCAAGCAACACCTAGATAGTAAATGCTCTGCTCCCAGCTCTGGCTTAAGGTGGAAGCTTTGCTGGTTCAAAGACTTCTAGACCTTCAAGGCTTATATAATCGGGGTGGACATAGGTGTCTGTCATTCTGACCACTGCTAGGCTTTGCAAACTCAGGAGACTGTTTCAGAAAAGGGAGTTCTGATCACTTTACTCACCTTTTCTAGAGGCAGAAACCATAGGCCTGTGGCAATGCCCAATCATAACTGCCTTCTTTCAGAACATTAAGGAGAAAGATCATTTCTAGTCATTGGTAGTGATGTAGAAGGCAAGCCAACATAACTTATGTAGCAGGAAACTTGCAAATGTTACATGATTGCTTCCTTTGCTGTCATAAGCAGTTTATCATTTCAGAAAGGGACATGTAGTCCTGGGCTACCATCCTTGAGTGATAACAGACACAGTCTATTGTTTCTATTTGCTTCCCAGGAGAAAGAAAAAGTTGTTACATGGTAATATTGCGGAGACCCTGGCCCCAGGGGTCTCCTATAAACCACTTATTCATTCATGCATTCATTGATTCACTTGTTCAGTATATACTGGGTGCCTGCTATGTGCCAGGTGCTGTGCCAGGTGTTAATGTAGCAGAGACACAGTATAAACCCTCCTGGAGGTTTAACCTGATGGGGAAAGGAAACAATAAGTAACACACAAATAAACATATGCAATGGAGTGGGGTAGGTGGAGAAAGCTGTTAAAAAATTAGTACAGCTATACTTGCCTCTTAAGGGTAATGTATGATCATCTCTGGAAGGAAATACCTTTTTATGGTCCAGCTTACAGGCATTAGTGGGGAAGGAAGTCTTCTTGTGAATTTAATCATGCCCCATAAGAGTTTGTGATTTCAAAGCAAAATTGAAAATCTGCTTTGAGCTTATGAAGATGGACCCCCAGAACAGTCTTTTCAGCCTTTCTCTCTCCTTTTTTTTTCTTTTTTTTCAGATTTTTCATTGACTTTCTAGAGAGAGAGGAAGGGAGGAGAAAGAAACATCGATGCGAGAGGGAAATATCGATCGGCTGCCTCCCGCACACCACCCACCAGGGATCAAGTCTACAACCCAGGGATGCATCCCAACCAGGAATCTAACCGGCAACCCCCTGGTGCATGGGAGGACACCCAAGCAACCAAGTCGCACTGGCCAGGGCTCTTTCTCTTTTTAAAGTGGTCACAGCTAAGCTACCATAATGTAGGCCTGGTACCAAGTTGGGTTGGGGAACAGCCTTAAACTGCTCAGTATAAACAGGAAAGAAGGAATGAACAGGAATGAAATGAGGGTGCTGGAGGCTAGAACACAGGAGGGAAACAGGGAAGTTATTGTTTAATGGGGACAGAGTTTCTGTTTCAGATCATATAAATAGATACAATATTGTGAATGTACTTAATGCCACAGAACTGTACACCTAAAAATGGTTAAAATGGTTAATGTTCAATTTTATGCTATATGTATTTTACATGAAAACAGTTTTTAATAAAAAATTAAAAAAAAGGGAACAGCCTGAAAGTAGATGGTAGGCTGAGGCTCCAGAGTGGAAGGGAGGAGAATGGGGGGAAGGGAGAGCTAGGAATGATAGGACCCCTCTGGGGGAAATGAGCAAGACACTTAGGGAGTAGAAGTATCTAACAATCAATCTTAAGTTTTTTGCTCTCTCACTTTTAGGATAACTCTCCTCTATCCCCCTAAACTTTAGTAAAAGTCTGCTATATCCAAATGCCTGGGAAAGAGAGAGCAGGGCAAAGAAATGGGAGGAGCCACATGCCCTGAGACCCAAGTGAGACTGACAGTGCCACTGAAGCAGAAGAAGAGGAACAGTGATGCCGAAAAGACATATGATGTGCTGGGCAGTACTGAGGATCCCCTGCAGGAGGAAGGCTCAAGGAACTGGCACTGTCATACTAAGGAATGGACCAGCTCCACCGGCAGGGAGGGCCTGGAACCACCAGGAGGCAGAGATCAGAGTCTCATGAACTTCATAGCCTGTGGGCGCTCTCTTAGGTTAAGGTGGTTAAACTAGGTTTAACTGGGTTAAACTGCATCCAGTGGGGCCTTTGCACTGCAGTAATAATAAGAGATACATCTTCAGGAAGTGAATTTTATTTTCTGGTGCTTTTTGGGAACTGCCAATTTAAAAGGATTAGGGGGCCTGGAGGGGAGATGGCAGAGGTCAATGGGGGGGAAAGGGGGGAGAAAGGGGGGCATCTGTAATATTTTCAACAATAAAGATAAATTTTAAATAAATAAGAGGATTAGGGGCGAGGAGAGAGCTACGGATGATAGGAAAAGGAGAGCCGACTAGTACCTAACTGGAATCCCTGAAGAAACAAAAACAATGCAATATAATAGCTATTTAAAGATATAATTCAGGAAAATGTTTCAATGTTTCTCTCTCTTTCTCTCTCTCTCTTTCCCTTCCTCTCTCTAAAAATCAATAGAAACATATCCTCTGGTGAAGATTAAAAACAAAAAACTGTCTTGTGCTGGAAAAAACCCAAGAAGGCATCTGAAACCGCTTCCCAAGTGACCTTTGACATGCTTTCCTTCAATAGAATACTAAAAATCGCGCCCAGGGATGGAGACTTAACATTGAAATGATACATGCAATGTATGGCTAGGCATGTTCCACGCATGTTTGGGAACTGCGCATGCTCCCTTGGAAATCTGAGAACCCTCCACCCTTCCTTGGGAATCTCTGCCCCTGAGGCTGCCTAACTACTCCCCCCGACCCCCAAACCCTTTAGGACTTCCCTAACGCCCCAGAATACGGGAGAGGGGATCTTTTGAGCACAACTTGCCCTTCTTAATTCCTTGGCCAAAGAATAAACTTTCTGATCTGCTTTACCAAACAGTTTCGTTGTATTGGCGCAAGCAACACTGAGCAGAACCACAACAATTTTGGGTCCCTGACCCACAGGGGTCAGGGACAAAATCATATAGTTGGTGCTTTTAATTCAAAATGAGAAAGATAACATCATCCAGGCCAGACTTCTTGCACCCACCTGAGGATACCTTCTCTTCCTGCAGATGAAGGAAGCCCATGATTATCTTGAGGCTGCCTGGAAGGCATGGGCTAGGTCCAAAAGGGGCTACAGAATCCCCCTGAACGACTGACATATTTATGAACCCAGTCTGAGTAAGTCATGTGGCAGCTCCAGGCACAGAATGTTCTATGATTCCACCCCTCCACCTTCTGCCTTGCCCCCTTTTCTGCCAGCTTGTCCCATCTACTTGTCCTGGGTGTGGCAGCACAGCAGAGCTGGGAGCAGGCTGGGTAGGAGGTGGATGCCAAGTTGCACCTTGCCGTGTGTCCGAACATCTTTGTCCTTCCTCCATGCCCTCTTGGAAAGTCCCGTTCAGTGAGGGGTCAGCGGGGCCAGGCAGCACTGAATTCCTTCTCCAGACCCTGGACAAACTGATCATTGAGGAAGAGCAGCTGACCATGGGGCAGGAAGCGGACAAGGATGCCCTCGATTCGATCAGCCCGCAGCAGGAGATTGGTGCCAGGGGCCAGCAGCCGGAGGTGGTCGAGAAGGAGGCGTGCCAGCAGCCTGAGTGTGCCCTCAGCAAGCAGCAGGTTCTCGTGGGCATCCAGCACCAGGGCGAAGCCTAATGAGAACACACCCAGCCACACCACCGTCCGAGGCTCCTGGAAAGGGTCCCCTGCAGCCAGGCGGAAGGCCCCTCGGGGGGCCTCATGCAGGGGCACTGGCTCATCTGAAGACTGGGGCTGCAGGTCTATGGGAGGCCTGCCAGATGCCTGCTGCTGCAGCCGGCACATGGACTCCACCTGCCTGGGAAGAGTGGGTGGGTCATCAACTTCTGTCATCCTCATGATCACCCCTGGAGCTGGGAGCTGCTATTATCTCCATATCTCAGATGTAGAAACTGAGCCCCAAAGAGACTAAATGACCTGTCCAGGGCCACAGAGAAGGAAGTGTGAGCTGGAACAGAAATCCAGGCTCCAGCCGCCAGGCCCTGAACGATTTCACTTAGTGTGGCCAAGAGAAGGCAGATTTTGAACACAGCTCCTAGGGCTGGAAAAGGGCATTAAGGGAAGAAATCCTGACCCACCTGCTTCACAGAGGCCTCCTCAACATAAAGAAAAGCAACAAATGAGAAGCAGTGTAAAAGCCACATCCAACCTGGGCTGTCCAAACTCTCTAACCACTTCCCATTCTGCAGCCCTCTCCAAATAAAAAGGAAAGGCCTTTCATTTGGCCACCCCAACTTTTGAAAGCACTCTCTCATCCCTCCTGAATTGCCCTCCAATTTGGGCTGTGCACAGGCTGGTCTTAAAGGAATGTGTTTGGTTTTCTGTGCCACAGGAGGAAGCAGAGGCCCAGAGGAAGAAGGGGATGGCAGGAGTCTGACACAGGACTATCCCAGAGTGTTAATCCCCCACCCAGAATGCACAGACCAGGAGATTTTGGCACCTGCTGACTTCGCCTGGGATGGGAAGGTCCAAGGCCAGACAACTCAGTTTGAGTGTTTCTCAAACTGAACTCTGGATCCCAGGCTTTTGGAAGGCCCTGAGCGTAAAGAGTTTCCATGTACCATGTTCTCTCTCCTACTTAGAGATGTATAAAGCCTCCAGGCACACTAGAGGCCCTGACAAGTCTTGCACTGTGAAGCATGTCTAATCTGTGCTGGTGTTTGGTTTGCCTGCCTACAGTCAAATCCCAGCTCTATTGCTTTCTAAGTGCATAACCTTGTGCAGGTTAAGTTCCTTAAACTCTCTGTACTTCAGTTTACTCATCTGCAAGATGGGGATAATAACTGTATGTACCTCAAAAGACTGTTACAAGGATTAAATGAGTTCATATACATGAAATGCTCAAAACATAAATGCTTAGCATGTATTCAAGCTCAATAAATGTTAACTATAATAGTAATAATAGCATTATTATTTTCTTTAACCCTTTTTCACATAACATTTGTGAACAACTGTAAAAGGCTCTTTAGAAAATGCTACTCTAAACTTCCTCTCTGATTCTTAGTCCCCCTGTTTCTTGTGCCCCCCAGAAAACCTATCACAAATGTGTTCAATGAAGATGTGGGGCTGGACTGGGCTGGGTGGTTACCTGGCCACTGCCAAAATCTGCTCCTTACGGAGGAGCCTGTCCCTCTCAGCACCGTGTGGTCGTGGGTCATCGGGTGAATTCTCAGCACCAAAGACGCAGGAGTAGAGCACCCGGCAAAGGCCCGTGTCCTCAGCCTGTGGGGCCCTCAAGGTGTGGATGAGGAAGGCATGGACCATGGCTCCAGGGTGGGTGCTACAGGGAAGCCAGATACCTCAATGAGATGAGTGTAAAACCCCAAGAGGGGAAGCAACCACAGAAAGGGTCTGGCCTAGCAAGGTCTGGTAGTATGTTTGGAGGCTGGTGTGGCTGGTCACAGGTCCTCCTCAGCCACCCAAGACACACCCCAGCCTCTGAATAACAGTCTGGTCAGCACCACCTCTGCCCATTACAGCCTGGGGGTGAAGAAACCTGACAACCTCAGCCAGGCGTCTTCAAAAGGGTTGAAGTCAGGAGAGTCAAGGGAAGCTGGGGAGCTGCTCCAGACTGAAAGACTAGACAGACAAAACTGAAGGCAGCATGTGTTCCTGAATGGGATCCCAGGCCAAGAAAAACACAGTTTCAATAAAGGGCATTATTAGGACAACTGGAAGCATTAAATATAGACTACACATTAGATAACAGCTTTGATGAATATTTCCTGATTTTGAACATTGGGGTAATGTCCATCTTTCAGAAAATATGCACTGATATACCTCTAAACATAGAGGTAAAGGGGCATCACATCTGCAACTAACTTTATTATTAAGAGGGGTACGGGAGTTTTTTATTTAAAAATCCTTTCAATTTTCCCTATGTTTGAGATTATTTCAAAATAAAAACTAAATAATAATGATGATAAGGATGATCATGATCATGATGGTGTCTGGCTGGCTCAGCAGCCAGCCAGCGTTCAAAGGCAGCGGGTACACAGTACGCAGATAAGTGTAGTTAAGGGTAAAAAGATCCTCGGTTTAAACTGGTTAAACAGGAAGAAGGTTCGCAAAGGCGCTGTCAGAACTGCAGCCCGCTGACCTGGTGCTGACCTCCAGTGACCCTCTAACCACAAGAAGAACGCGTCATCATCCCTCGCCTTGGCGTCTCCCCCACAGAGAAAAGGAAGCAGCAAAGACTCCTTGCGTCACTGCCTCGCGCAACCGTGCAGCGCAGTGCATTTTGGGGGTTGTAGTTCCTTGCTCCAGTCGGCCAGGCCTAAACCAGGCGCCGCACCCTGAGTGTGCTACCCCTTCAGCCCCGGGCCGCTCCCCTCGAGGCGTCGCACTCACCCCTCCTCTGGTCCCGCAGACTCCTAACAGGCCGCTTCCCTCGGCAGCGGGGCAGCAACGGCAGCTGCGCGGCCTCTAGGAGCCTGCGCACAGGCGTCGCGGGCGCGTGCACGAGGGCGACACAAGCAGGGTGGTGGCGTTCCAGGCGTTCTGATTTCTGGGCATCCGGCGCAGGCGGCCGTCCTAATCGGACGAAAGATCCCGTCGCTCCGCCGGTCGTTGCCCACACCCGTCACTCCTGGCCGGGTTACGCTGTGTTCCGGCGTGAAGCCCTGGACCGGCCCAGCCCCAGTCCGCCGGCTCCGGTGGCCGCGAGGGGGCGCAGCGACCGGTCCCGCGGACCTTCAGAAAGAGGTCGGCTGGCCGCGTCGCCGCTAGAGGGCGGCGTTCAGGCCCCTGGTCCCTTCCGGCCCCGTGAGGATCGCGGGACCTGAACGTGGAGCCCGAGTTCTCAAACTGACCAATGTGCGTGGGAAACATTGGGGCGTCGGATAAAATGCGTATTCCTGGGAGTTATTACTTTCGGGGGAAATATGCATGTTTACGCGGTCGGCGGGGGCGGGGATTCCTGGGCTGTGGGCTCCTGCAGTGGGTTAAGACTCTGGCTCCGTTTGGAGTAGAGTGATTGAAACTCTGGTCCCAACCCTGTCACAGCTGCGTGTCCCTGGCGGGTCAGGCACTTCGCTGGGCCCCAGCGAAGCCCATAGGACTTAGTAGGCTAACTAGTTTTCCCTTTCACGCTCCAGCCTCTAACGAGCTCCCTTCTGGTCATCAAAGGATAGTGAAGACACTTATACCTTAAACTTGAAAGGGGCACAACCAGGTGCCAGGTTCCAGAGCCCTGCAGTGGGGTAAAAGCCCCAGTGAGGGTTTGGCCCGGAGCTGTTTGGGGCCCCGCAAGGTGCCTTGGGTCTCAGGGCCTGCCCTGGGTGCCCTCCTCCCCCGCACAAATGCACACTCCTTTCCCTCCTGGCATGTGAAGTGCTGGAGCCTCCCCAGGTGTGTCCCAGCCTTCTGTTTCTCCAAACCAACGCCCCTGGCTCGTCCGTTCCACCAGCAAACCGGTTGTTCCTGCGGCCTGCAAGGCTCTTTCCTCCCCTTTTTGTCCTTCAAATTGTGCTCAGACCAAAACTTAGGGGAAGCCTTCCTGTCCAAACTGCCCATTAGCCTTCAGGTGTCCCTTTTGCACCCAGGGTCTGCCTATGGTAGTGATGTCTCATGGAATCCAGCCTGGCTATGGAGCCCAGCTTCAGTCCCCAAGATCATACACAAAGCAGGCCTGGAGCCAACCTAAACACACTCCTTGATTACTGAAAAAATGGACAGGGCAGGGACCCTGGCTCCAGGGCCCTCCAAGGGCATGCACTCCGGGTCCTTCTGGCCATAGGCCTGGGCAGGGGGCCACTGAAGGGAGCCTGGAGGAGGTGGCCAGGGGCTGACCAGGGCATGTGGGCATTTTGACCACAAGTACGACACACAAATATATTTGTAGATGGAGGGGCAGGCCCAGAGAGTGTGGGGCCTCAGCCATAAGGCTGGGGGTGATGTTGGCTCAGTTCCTGGTCCCTGGTTCCTATCACTCAGCCAGGACTCATGTCTGCCAGCTGATTACAGCAGAGCTGGCAGAGGGCTCTGGTCACTGGGGGCTACCTGGCATCTGGAACACAGTATTCAGACCTCTGTCTACTCCTCAGGCAGTGAGTCCCATCCAAGTCCCAGGCCACCTGGGGGGCCAGCCTGTGTGAAGTGCATGGAGGAAACAGCAGTGAGAAGCTGGCCTGAGTCACTATGCTGAAGGCAGTGGGGAACACAAATGAAGTGGTATCCAGATAAGTGGGGCAGACTCAGGTGCCATTCCTGACTTTTTACAGCCCTCAGCCATGTGCCCTCTGGCTCAGTTGATTGGAGTGTCATCCCATACACAAAAAGGTGGTGGGTTCGATTCCCAGTCTGGGCACATACCCAGTTTGCAGGCTCAATCCCGGGTCAGGCAGCCAATCAAAGTGGTGATGTTTCTCCCCCCCCCTTTCTCTCTCTTTCTCTCTCTCCCCCTCTCCCCCCCCTAAAAAAATGAATTAAACAAAACAGCATGAATCAGGAATCATTAAAATTTTAAAAAACCATGTGTACCCCCTGACAATGGGCAAGGAGACACCTGATTGGTGGTGTTGCTCTTATACCAGTTACGGGCAAAACAGATGTACAGTCCTTAGCTCATTCTAGCTTGATGCCTGAGTTGGTGGCCAGAGCTGTTTTGTGCCTGGGGCACATAAAAAAACAAATAAACAATGTCCAGCCGGTGTGGCTCAGCAGTTGAGCCTCGACCCAAGAACCAGGAGGGCAGGGTTTGATTCCCTTCAGGGCACATGCCTGGGTTTCAGGCTCCATTTCCAGTCAGGGGTGTGTAGGAGGCAGCTGATCAATGATTCTCTCACATCATTAATGTTTCTCTCTCTTCCTCTCCCTTACTCTCTCTAAAATCATTAGAAACAAACCAACCAACCAAAAAAAGCCATGTGCTGAGGACAGTGAGTCAGGAAAGAGCCTAGGTCCCCAAGACGCCACAGAGCCTTCTTGCTGAGTGAGGAACACATGCTTTAATTTTGTTAAACTGCTGTGTGGGGGTTTCTCTTATGTGCAGCCTAACTCCTTCCTATGTGAGCCAGCATGTGAAATGGGCAGGATGGAGCATGGCACACAGTGGGCACTTAGTAAATCAATAAATGCCTGCAACTATTAATCCAGAGGCTGAACAGGAAAGCAGAGATGGAAAGCAAGTAGGGCCTTCTGGTCTGGTGGCAGCCCAGAGGCAGGCAGAGGAACAGGCTGAACTTCCCAGTTCTTCCTGGGATTATAAGACCCACCCTGAAGACAAAATGGAACAATCTAAGTGTGTTGGGGCAATATGTGTATATGTTCATGTGTGTGAGGCTTTTATAGTAGTTACCCTAGAGATTGCAGCAGGGCTAGGCCCACAGTTAATATGTAGAGATGTGGGTTTGTGGGATATGGATAGATGGATGTGTGTGTGTGCGCTTGTGAGAGAGAGACAGACAGACAAAAGAGGGGGAAAATGTAAAATTAAAGAAAGCACAACAAAAAAAATTAAAGGAGCCTGAAGGAAGCAGACATATGGCTGGATTTGAAGCCAGGCCCACCTGCCTACATGGAACTGGGGATGGGGCATGCCTTCCTGTCATTTTCTCTCCCCTCCCTCTGGCTCTGGGCAGAGGTGACCATAGCCTGATTCCCCAACCCTGCTCTTCTCAGTGGCTTTCTGAGCTTGGTGGGTTCCCTACAGACCCTCACATTGGCCCCTTCCCCACACCCCAACTCTCCTCTGCTTTCTACCCAGGTCAGGGTGAGACCTGCCCCACAGTGGCAGGCAGCTTGGTGCTCGCCTCTTCTGATCCCCCTTGATATCCACCACTAGGATGCACTTGTTGACCATTACTGATTCAATTTGGAAAGCAGGTTCCCCACCTACCCAAACACAGCAGGGTCCTGAATCACTGATGGGCAGCCTGGCTTGGGAAGTTCTGCTGCTTCTCCCAGACGTCAGGACCAACCCCCAGGTCCTGCTTACATACCTCCAGAGACAGGGAGCTACTCCCCAAGGACAGCCCTATTGGTTTTTGACAGCTGGAAACCCTTATCAATGGTCTTCATAGGCCCTGAGACTTGAGGCCATACCAATCAAGCCACCACCTACTTCTGGACTTGGGGAGAGAAATTAGGTGTAATCTGCCAGCCTCAGGCAGTGAATTTTTTTAGTGACTCCCTGTTAAGGATATCTAGCCATTTCTAACAGATTAGAGCAAGAAACTAGGAGCGAGAAAGGATCTGCTTTTTTGAGAATCCAGGCCAGCTGAGACTGAGTGGATATGGTTACCCTAGAATAAAGGGGACCAAAGTCGGGCAAGACTTCTCCTTCATTCACCTCCTGCTCCCTGAACCAGCTCAGAGATGACATTGCCCCATGGGCAGCCTCCCATGGGCCACCCAGATGGCTTCCTCCTGTCACCACCCAAACCCTCATTCACAGCCTCCTGTTACTTGGACTTGTGCAGTAGGCCATCTGCCTCCTACATGGGTTTTTCTCCTATAACCTATCACCCAGGGGCTTTTCCATATGCAGAAAAGGAGGAAACACCCAGGCTGTCCCCCTTTTAAAATTAATTTAATTTAATTTTTAAAAAATATATCTTTATTGATTTCAGAGAGAGGAAGGGAAAGGGAGCAAGAGAGAGAGAAACATCAATGATGAGAGTCATTGATCGGCTGCCTCCTGCACACCTCCTATTGGAGATCAAGCCCACAACCCGGGCATGTGCCCTGACCGGGAATCGAACTGCGATCTTCTGGATCATAGGTCGATGCTCAATAGCTGAGCCGTGCCAGCCGGGCTGTCCCCATTTTTAAAATTAAGTAGTTTTTAGGCTCACCCTTTTACCTGTCTGATCCCCACATGCCCTAAGTAGTAACGGCCATAGCAGACTCTTATACAGCACTTGCTGTGGGCAGACCCTGTTCTGAGTGTTTTGCATACACCAACTCACTTGATCTAATCCACAACCCTTTGAAGAAGGGGCTTTATATCCATTTTTCAGATGAGGAAATTGAGGCATAGCAAGATAAGTAACTTTCCTGATCTTACACGTGTACTCAGGGAGGGGTGCATGTCAAAAGAGATTGATTTCAGCCTGCCCCCCGCCAATTGTGTTTCCCCTTCTTCCCCTGTCCCCTCAAGGTCACCCCTGGGGCTGGCTTAGCTCCTGCCCCCATCTCCAGGAGGCCGTAAGCCTAGCACTACTTAACCCCTACAACCCAAGCCTGGGAACTTCTTCCCACCCAGATTGGTTGACCTCCTTCCTCAGTGTTCCCAGTCCCAACCCAGGAATCTCCCTCCCCCAGTCCTCCCCTCAGGGAGCCCCAGGGCCCATGGAAGCAGTCTTGGCTGAGCCCCAGGAGGACTAGTCTAAGTGTGATTGGCCCTTTCAAACAGCCTCGCTTCCTGCAGGGCTGAGAGCCAGGAGGCCCCACGAGGTGGCTCAGGCCCAGCCACGTGAGGCCCCTTCCCCTCCCGCTGCCCCCGGCCCCAATGACTCAGAGCCTGGCAGCTGCGGCCGTCACCCCCTCCCTGGGGTGTGGGCTGGGTGGGGCCGAGGCAACCCTAGCAGCGCTGCCTGACACCCGCACAAGCTCCAGCCAGAGGTGGGTGGGATGGCTTCTTACCTTCTGTCCCATAACCAACTATCTTCTTAAACAATAGACTGAATAACCTCACACCTTCCACCATTCTCTCAGGCCTGACTTTCAGGGCTGCGAAACAGCCACTTCTCCATCATTACTCAACTTCCCTCTCCTGATTGTTTCCAGATCCCACGTGGCCGTGGACCTCCTTGTCTAAACATCCTTCTGCACCAAGAGTTTATTGCCTCTGGAAAGTACGGTGCCTGTGCGTTCAGTTCCAGGGATAAAGACTTTTTAGAAATCATAAGTTTTCTAGATGGTTGTGAGCTGTCGTCAGTGGATGGATGCAAGCCAGTGACATACAGCCAATTAACTCCAGAGTCACTTTAACTTTTTTAAGAATCTGATGAGAAAAAAATCAAGACTAAGGCTAATATTTCAATACAGGAGAGTCAGAAAACAGGCTGGGGCGTAGGATCCAGGCGATCAGGGTTCGATTCCCGGTCAGGGCACATGCCCGGGTTGCGGGCTTGATCAATGACTCTCCCATCATTGATGTTTCTATCTCTCTCTCTCCCCCTCCTTTCCTTTCTGAAATCAATAAAGATATATTTTTTAAAAAAAGAAAGAAAACAGGCTGGGTCTGTGATGCTCCAACCCCTGCTACTGCGGTGTCATGGCATGTAGATTCAGCCTTGACAACAGAGCTCTTTGTTATAAACAACAATTTTTTGGTTAAGAGAGAGATTAGCCCAGCTAGTGTGGCTCAGCAGTTGAGCATCGACCCATGAACCAAGAGATCACGGTTTGATTCCCGGTCAGGGCACATGCCCAGGTTGCTGGCATGATCCCCAGTAGGGGGCATGCTGGAGGCAGCCAATCAATGATGTTTCTCTCTCATCGATGTTTCTCCCTCTCCCTCTCCCTTCCTCTCTCTCTAAAAATAAATAAAAACTTTAAAAAAAAAAAAAAAAGAAAGAGAGCGATTGCCCAGCCAGGTGTGGCTCAGCGGTTAAGCGTCAACCTAGGATCCAGGAGATCGGGGTTTGATTCCCGGTCAGGGCACATGCCCGGGTTGCAGACTAGGCAACCGATCAATGACTCTCTCATCATTGATGTTCCTATCTCTCTCTCCCCCTCCTTTCCTCTCTCTGAAATCAATAAAGATATGTTTAAAAAAAAAAAAAAAGAGCGATTAAAATTGATCAACTTTGATGAGACTATGGAGTAGCAGAACTCTCAGGCACTGCTGTTGGGGGGTAAGTTGGTGCAGCAACCCTGGAGAACTGTGTGGAAAATACTAAAACTGAACATACACACTATAACCCAGTAATTCCACTCCTGGGTATATTCTCAGTATAATTGAAATCATCCCAAATAATCCACGGGCAGAATGAAAATGTTCTATATATCGATGGTAGTGGAGGCTACACAACTGTATGCATTTGTCAGAATTCATAGAACTGTACACTCAAAAGGGTGGATTTTACTGTATATAAATTATACCTTAATTTTTTTAAAACTGTTGATCAACTTAGGGAGAGAGAGAGAAACATGGATCTGTTCCACTTATATGTGCATTCATTGGCTGATTCTTTTTATCCACACCCGAGAATATATCTTTCCCATTGCTTTTCAGAGAGTGGAAGGGAGAGAGAAAAGCATCAATGTGAGAGAGACACATCAACTGGTTGCCTCCCACACGTGCCCAGGGCTGGGGTTCGAGGCTGCAACTGAGGTACATGCCCTTGGCCAGACCCTTCAGTCCGCAGGCTGATGCTCTAACCACTGAGCCAAAATGGCTAGACCAGTTGGTTGATTCTTGTATGTGCCCTGACCAGGGATCGAACCCGAAACCTTGGCATATTGAGACGATGTTCTAACCAACTGAGCTATAAGGCTAAAGCTTGATTTTTTAAAGTTATTTTTAAAAATATGTCTTTATCAATTTCAGAGAAAGGAAAGGAGAGTGAGAGTGAGAGAAACATCAATGATGAGTCATTGATGGCTGCCTCCTGCAGGCCCCCTACAGGGGGAATCGAGCCACTACACTCAACCAACGTTGAGAGAGAAACATCTATTCCTGGTCAGGGCACATGCCAGGGTTGCTGTCTCCATCCCCAGTAGTGGGAGTGCGAGAGGCAGCTGATCGATGCTTCTCACACCAATGTTTCTCTCTCTCTCCCTCTCCCTTCCTCTCTCTCTAAAATCAATAAAAAGAAAAACACACATTATTATTATTATTATTATTGTTACTATGAGGGTGCATTTATTAAAGCTGGGGACAGTGAAACAAGAAAGGGCTTAGCATAGAAGAAGCAGCAGGAGCGCCTAGGCTGGGTTGCTTTGGCTCACTGGGAAGTCAGAGAAAAGCGGGCCTTGGAGACAGGTTCAGGGGCTTAGGCCGGGACGAACTGCCTTTGCCCACTGCTCCCCTGGTTGCAACTCTCTTGGGATCCCTTAGAGTTTAGGAGATGTGTGTCTGTTGGGGGAGCTGCAGGGGAAGAAGAAGGGGAAGGGAATGGCATGGGGAAGGGAGTGGCACAGGCGTGCTCCCCAGAGGGAGAGCGTGCTGAAACATTATTTTAAAAAATTGTCATTGCAAGTTACCTGGGGAGCAATTCAGACGATGCCCAGACCCCGTGCCTGTCTATTGACTTGGCCAAGCCTGGCACAAGCCAGTTCCCCACTTGCGCCCAACCGCACGCAGCTCTTTAACCATGTGAGCTGGCCGCACATGGTTCCTCGCAGACTGGAATTCCTGCCCCACCCTGGCCCAAGCAAAACAACCCTTAAAACTGGCCGGCAGCCCAGGATTTAAACCACTTCCTTGTCTGACCCTCTTCCCTGTATGAACACCCAGGAGGAAAGTTATAGCTTCTCTTGCTGCAGGGCTGGGGCATTGGGCCACCTGTGCTTTATCCTCTGAACTTCTCAGAGTCAGAGGGGATCCTGGCCTGAGCTGGAAAGGTGAACCCCTGGCACCCCCTCCCCCAGGCTCAGGCCAGCACCTTCCTCAGGGTAGATGCCAGCACCAGGGCCTTCTCTTGGGGAAGTTTTGTCTCCTGGCTTGACGAAAATCCCCTCTGTGCCCTCCTCTTCCGTTTTCCCCTGCAGAATAAGCTGAAAACTGACCCGGTGAGCTTAGATGATATGTAACAGTGTCTGGAGAAGACTAAGTGCCTCATGACTGCAGTTATGACTCTGATGGTGGTTATGAGGGGGCCAGACATGGCTGTCTATGTCAGCAGCTGGCACACGGCCTGGGCATTGTTAGACACTCAGTGCCCGTTGCTCCCTCCTCCCCATGTGGCCTGATTCACGCTGATGGAGTGGGAAGAGCACACTGAGAGCAGAAACCAGGCAGCCCAGCCCCACCCCCGTGGCTGCTCTGGGACCACGGCAGGAAGTGAGGAGTGGGAGAGTCCCAGGCAGTGGGAATGCCCGCTCTGCTTATATCTGCTGCATGACCCGGGCAACTGAGTGCCCTCTCTGAGCATCCAGTTGCCTTCCTTCTCTGTAAAACTGGGTAAGGGGAGGGAGGCAGGAGACCACCTGACTACACAGGGTGGGGCAGGCAAGTCTCAGCACGACGATGCCCAGGGCTCACTCTCTTTCTCAGGAGCCTGCATAACTATTTCTCCTTTTCTGGGGTAAGCCCCCTCACCCAAATAAATGGTCTTTGTGTCACTGCCTGCTTGGTGGATAGAGGGGGGTTCTGGAATCTTCAGGGCCCCAACCTCCCTGAGCAGAGGCCCAGCCCCCAGGCACCTCCTACCTGTTGTGTCCTTGCAGTGGGCTCTGGACCAGGAATAAAACCCAGTCCTTTAGGTATAACAAAATTGGGGGTCAAGCTGAAGACAGGGCGAGTGTCCTTTAGACTCAGCCTGGGAATCTGGAACCCCTCCTTGTTGCTAGAAATAGCCTCCATTTTCCCATCTGCAAAATGGAGTCAATAATCATCCCACCGCCACTTCAGAAGTCAGATGAACTTCCACAGAAAGTGGTAATGACCCCTGATGTGTGTTAACTCTGTATCAGGAAGCATCGTATTTGTACATTTGCAAAGAAGTCCCTGTGATCACAAGCAGCTCACACTGCTGGTGGCAGTGGTGGTGGTGGTGTGTGTATGTGTTAGTTGATAGCAATGATATTCTGAGAGGATTTCCTGAGACACCAGGTTTGGGCCTGGGACAGGTTCTCCCAGGTTGGCCCTGAATGGGAATTGAACTGGTGACCTCACGGTGCATGGGCAATATTCAACCAGCTGAGCCACACTGGTCAGGGCTCCATTCTCTGATCTTGATCTCATCTCCTAGGTGGTAGCAGCTTTGCTGGGTTCTGAGAACACTGAGAGGAAAGCCATTTCCCTGACAGAGCAGGAAGGCTTCTGGGAGGAAGTGACTATTGAAATTGAATCTTATAGGAGGAATAATAGATAAATAAGAGCATTTCTGAGTGTGGCACGGCAGATGCAAAGGCAAGGAACTGTGAAGGACAAAGCATAGAATATTTGAGTTAGAGGGGAGGAATGAGGCTGGGGAGGGCCCAGGTTATTCTGCTGGCAATGGGGAGCCATTGACAATTCTAGAAACTAGTGATGGGGTCACTCTTGCCTTCTTAGTTCAAAGTTTAGGCAGGGTAAGCCCAGAGGTGCTTGAGCAGCCAGATGAGGGGAAGAGGGAGGCTGAATCCAAAGTCTTGGCAAGACTTGGGAAGACAGCATGAGACCACCTCCCCAGGAGTCTTCCTGCCCCAATCTGCTGAACTGCCCCTGCCCTATCTGGCCATCGGCGGCTGCTGTGGTCTTGCCAAGGGCCCCACAGAACACAATGCTGGTTGCTCAACTTGTTCAGTGCTTTATTGAAACAAGGCCCTAACAGATGACTCATTAAGGCCTTCAAGCACAGCCCTTCCCACATCCTGAGATTAAGAAGTCAGAGGTGGTTCTGTCCTTGGTTTAGCTGTTTCCATGACATTTCTCTTGAATATTTCCAAACCTTAAAGTGTAAAGATTTTGTCCACACAAACACACATACCCTCCTGCTGAAGGCTGTCATGCTCACTGAAATGCTTCCACTCAGTGGTTTGTATGTGCAAGACATTGTGCATCTACGGCAATCCATCCATTCATCATTCATCCATTTGTCCATCCACGACAAGACAGCAGTAAGTTCTCACAAGTCAGGCCCTAGGGTTCACAGCAGTGGGGGCTGGGCTTCCAGTGAGGCTAAGGACACAGGCCTTAGCCTTCACCCAGGTGCCCCCAAGTAGAACATCCCTTTCCGAGGCAACAGGAGACAGGCCAAGTAGGTAATTAAGATTTGAATCTCTAACCCCTCCCTTCTTCGCTAAGGGTGACTGCCTGATGGCCTGTGAATGTCCTGAGATGGGCAAAAAAATCAGACAGACAAATCAAGCATACAGGTAACACTGAAACAGGAAGAGTAAGAGCTTACGTTTGTGCTAGAGGTGTATGTAAGGAGGGACAGAAAAAAGGGAACAAGAAAGCCAAACACGCAGGCACACGCAGGAGTGCAGTGAGGTCCAGGGCACAGTGCTACTCCCAGGGCTGGGAGGAGTGCAGCTCTGGCCCATCTTGGGGGCTGTGGCTTTCCCCCAGTCTCAAACATACAAACAAAGCCCCTAGAAAAAAGGGGGCTTTTCTAGACACAGGAAAACAAAGGGTTAACCAAAATAAGGAAGGAAAAAAGCAAAAAGGCTCCTGCTGGACACAAAATACTTCCTTTGAGCTGGACTTAATCCAATTTCACTAAGTCAACAAGTTAGGCTCTTCTAGGGGCTAGGGCGTTGGTAGGGGGTGGCACCAGGATATGGAGTATGGTTGGAGTGAGACAAGGGGATCAAGGCTAGGGGCAGATAGACAGGACACCCTCACTGTCTTTCCCTGGACAGGACCTGGGGCCTGCAGGAGACCATCAGTCCTATAGGCCCCTAGGTGGCTGGTGCCCGGGCCACTCAAGGCAATGAAGGTAGGTGAGTCCGTGGCTGGCCTTTCACTTGTCCTGCAGGCGGCTGCAGAGCTCCCTCCGGCTCCGTTCCCCGGCCCAGCTGCGCGTCTTGAGGCGGAATGTCCTCAGATTGTCCTTGAAGGCCTCGTGGTTCATAGGGCGATAGTCCTGGGGTTCACAGAAGGTCTAGGGCAGGATGGGAGAGGTCAGTCAATATGGGAGAGTGGGTAACTTAGGTGGGGCAGCCCTTCCTTTTCTTAGGGTGATGCCTGGCCAAGCCCTTTCCGTGCAGTCCAACCCTCCCATGGAGGCTGTAGCCACCCCTGTCTATGGTACCGGGTGCTGTGGGAAGAACTCCTTGTAGCCGCCTTTGAGAATGTACATCTCCGGATAGTAGAGGCTGGGGTAGTCATTGATGGTCCGATCTCGTTCCCTGATGAAACGGCACCTGAGACCAATGGGTGTGGTGGTCAGAGCTGGGCATGCAGCAGGGTGGACCTCAGAGAACCTGCTCCCTGCACCCACTCCTTTGAGGGCCTTGGAGAACCACAGAAGGCTCAAGTGCAGGCACTTTTATTGTATTGTATTGTATTGTATTTTGTAATCCTCCCTCGAGGATAGTTTTTTCCATTTATTTTATTTTATTTTTGAGAGAGAGTGAAGGGAAAGGAGGGAGGAAGAGAGAGAGACAGAGAGAGAGAAACATCTGTGTGAGAGAGACACATCAATTGGCTACACCCCTGCATGCACCCCGTCCATGGCCAGGGATTGAGCCTGCAACTGAGGTATGTGCCCTTGACCAGGAATTGAACCCAAGACCCTTTGGTCCACAGGCCAACACTCTAACCACTGAGCCAAACCGACCAGGGCTCAAGTACAGGTATTTTTACTTTTAGATCAGTCTGGCTACTGGGTTCAGAAGAGGCTGGGAGATGGAGGGAAGGAGGAAAATCAAGGGGCCTCTCTGTTTCTAGAAGGCAGGCGCAGGATCTTTGTTAGTGACAGCTGGCCTGGACTGCGAAAGGGGAATCAGAATGAAGAGAAGTTGACGAAATTCAAGAGATACATTCAGGAGGTCTGAACAAGACAGTGAGGGCGAGAGGTGGGGAAAGGAAAGGACATTTGAACACCAGAAGGGTCAATGTCACTGAGGACTGGGACAGGGTCCTTAGATTTTTAAGGACACTGCTGGAAGCTTGGAATCAGACTCGGGGGTGGGGGATGGGTCATGGCAATGATGGAGGGTTGTGGCCTTTTGGGAAGACCAATAAGAGGGAAACAAGAAGAGGGTGCCATGCACAAGGAAGCAGGGGTGAGGTCGGCTTCAGGCAGTCAGATGAGACTTGAGGCCCAGGCCAAGGAAGGGCTGGGCTCAGGCCTCTTGGCCTTAGCATGGCTCCAGCACCCACAAGCTTGGGTGGAGCTGGGACTCACATGCGGGGCCCACGCTCAGATGAGAATTCACAGTGGAAAATAAGGATGATTCTCTTGTCCAGGCTGCAGGGCGTGATGGGGCTGTGCAGCAGGAACATCTCAGCGTCCTGTTCCAGGGGCAGGTTCACAGCAGTCTGTCAAAGCAGCTGGAGGTCAGGCCACAGTCCCGAGCCTGGGCGGCCGACCCCTCCCCTATGCAGTTCCCTTATTTCAAATGGGTGACCCCACCTCTTGCTGGGCAGGACCCTTCACCACAAGAGGGCGCCCCCACAGAGGAAAGATAGAACTGGTGGGTCTTCAGCACCTCCCCGGTAGCCCTGTCTCACCTTGATGTGCCCGCCTTCATACTCGTAGGGGTATCTGCAGTCCACGATCACAAACCTCTCCACGATGTTGCTGAACTTGCCCGTCAGCAGGGCCACCATCTGTAGGAGGCCACGGAGGTGGGTCCCAGCACGTCAGGCTGGCAGGCAGGGGCTGGCCCCTACCCCTACCCTACCTAGTGCCTGCAGCCTGTTCTCAGGGAAGGTTAACAGGCGAACAGCTCCCCTGCACCTACCGTTTCTGGTGCGATGTACTTGAGGTCTTGATGCTTCCCGTCCACAGTCTGTAGGAGGAAGGCCTGAAGCGAAGTAGGGAGAGAGAGAGAGACTGAGAAAGGGAGGAGAAAGTGAAACGGGTAAGGTAAGGAGCACAGAAGGACAGCTTCCTTCCCAAGCCCAGAGGCCACGCTTGATTTGACCTTCAAACTCGGCTCTGATTCCGGTAGCAACCGAGAGGCACCTCTTGGGTCTGATACCCCAGGAACAACCTTCCAGGGAGAAATAAAGGGAAGCAGAAGCGGTAGACTCCTGCTTCCTGCCCCAAGCTCTGCCAAGCCCAGGAATGAGGCCTGAGGAGAATCAAACTAGACGCCGTTTGGAAATGTTTTCCAAGGTGGAGACACCACTGAGGCCTGGACATATGTGAGATAGAGTCAGGAGACCAAGGAGACACAGAGTAGAGTCTAGGTGAGAGTAAAGTACGATTGGGTGCAAAGGACAAAGCAATGGAGCCTCTGGGGAGAGAGGGCAGCCCTGAAGTAGCTGCTGGGCTCCAGGGCTCCAGTCGGTAAGGGGTAGAGCTCGAGGGTCTTGTCAACTGGTACCTTAGAGTAATCCCCAATCAGTTCACGATGGTCACTGTCCAGGATGTTCTCAATCTCGTCATGACACAAGGACTTGGAGCGGAGGACACGGGCTTTCTGTGAGACAGATGGCAGCCAGGATCAGGGAGGAGGCTGCCCCTCCGTGCCCAGCCTGGCTGGTATTCCCCCTTGCCCGCACCCTGGCTGAGAAGGGATTGCAGGGTAGACTGGGAAGGTGGCAGCCCCACCCCAGGAGGAGGGCTCTCACAGGTTCCTCGGCCTCCTGCTGCTCCTCCAGAGGGGTCACACTCCTTCTTCGCTTGTTCTGTGTGGGCAGGTCCCTGTCCTGGGGCCGCTCCAGCCTCTTAAGGATGGGCCGGATCACTCCACAGGGCATGGACGGAGAGCGGAAAAGCCGCTGGCATTTGCTGTACATGATGAGGTCCTGGGAAGGGCAGTAGGTTGGGGGTCAGAGTACTCAACTTCTGCTCAACCCCAATCCCACCTGGAAGGTAGAGCCCCACCCCTCTAAATTCCAAGGGGGCCACCCCAGAAGCTCACCTGCTCTTCTTCCTTTTCCAAAGTCTTGACCAGTGGGGCACTAATGAGGCTCTCCATGCCTGGGGGAACTGAATCATCATCCTGAGGCCAAATCAACAAGATATGGTCACACCAACTGGCACAAGCCAAACCCCTCAGGCCCGTCCTCCAGTGCAGCCTTCTCTGGCCCTTCCAGCACCTCCACACAAGGCAGCCCCCCAGAACCAGGAGATGGCAGGGACCCCTCACTGCTGGGACTCGCACACAACCATGAGAAGCTGCACAGGAGCACCTTCCCTCCGCCTGACTGTCCTCCCCTCACTGCAGCACTAGCCACCTATTCTTCTCTGACTGCCCAGAGGTCAGGCTGTGACTCAGTTACCGCCAATTCTTCTTCTGACATTGGAATGAGGTCATAGTCTTGCTGCAGGAGCTCAGAGCTGTCCTCTTTGGGAGATCCCAGGGAGGGAGATGCAGGGGGCCTGATGGAGCAAGGCTGCTTACCTTTAGGTCATTCTCCAGGATGTCCACAAATCCATCATCCTCCTCAGGAGTCCCCTTGGTGGGGGTCAGGGGGAAGCGTTGGGCCAGGGGACTCAGCTCCTCTACTTCCATCTTCCGCTCAGGGGTGAGACACTTGTGTGGGTGACATACAGATGCAGGCTACTCAGGGCTGGGGGCCCAAGGCAGTCCCTACCCCTAACCTTCTGAGAAAAGGTTCCCCTGCCTTAGGCTCAGAATCACCCTCCCATCCCCAGGCTGCCTTCAGAGGGCACCTGCCCTGTGTGCACGCCTGCCCTGCAAGGGTCAGCTCTCCCGATGTACCATCAGGTCAGGGGCGGAGCTTGGCCTCTGGGCAAAGGCTTCTCTGCGGCTGGCCCACTCGGCCAGAGCATGGGTATGGCTGGGATGTGTGGGCTTCCATGGCACCTTGAAGATAAATCCATCCTGTGGGCAAAACGGGGTGGGGGGGCGAGTCATCGAATGCCAGAGAGCCACCCCAGCACGCCCCCTTGCCCCCCGGCATGTTCCCACTCTGGCCTGCAAGAAGCGCACATTCTCTTTCTCCTCCCCAGAGGTGTGGGCGGTTTGGCCACGAGCCCTGCTCTTCCTCCAGCTGCCAGGTGCTTGGGCATTGGTGATGTTCCGTAGCACAGGGCTGTGGCCCAGCAGCCTCACCTGGGGAGCCAGGGGGGGCAGCAGTCATTGACGGTTACATTTCTCTGGCACCAGCACAGGCCCTACCTTCTCCCAACCCTCCCCTGAATTGCCCTGCTAGCCCATCCACCACCCAAGCCCCATTTCCCACAGCCAGACCAGGGACATCTGACCCCAAATGTCCCCTCTAGGAGTTGGGCCTCGGAACCCTCCTGTCCTTCCCCAGTCCTGGCCAGTGTGCCTGAGCCTCCTGTCAGGCATCAGAGGGCACTTACCGGCAAAGACTGGAAGCGTCGGATGGTGAACTGCTTGCTACAGAAGGAAACAGGGACATGGTAGGGCTGGAGAGTCTGGGACCGTAATGGGGAGCATGCAGGATGCCTCTCCACCAGAACCCTGTGCAAGCACCCCTCAAGAGAGGGCCTGGGAAAGCACCCTCCCCATGCCAACGGGGAGCAGAGGTAGCCTGTGGTGGGTAGACCACCAGAGCCTGCAAGAGGAAGGCCAAGCACTTACTTTCGAATGAGCCGGCTAGCTGCCTGGATGGCCTGTTCAAACCTAGGAGAGAGAAGGGTCCCATGCACCTACCTCCCACTACAGTCCATCACCCGCCACCAGCATCAGGTCCCCAGTCCACAAGACCCGGGGACTAGGGCTAAGGACAGTGGAAAGGGGAAGTAGGAAGAATGTCAACTATCTGGGGACCCGGATATTGAGGGGGAAGATGAAGGACAGCCTGGGATTTTAAAGGCTGCACTGAATGGAAGAGGGCCCAGAAAACGGCAGCAATGGAGACAGCTGGGATAAGTCAAAGGGTGGCTGAGTGTTACCCAGACAACGGTCATGCCAGCTTGCCCACAGGCCTTCCACCTGTATGCAAATCAGAGGGGCCATATGGCCGCCAGGAAAGGCATTCATCCAACCCATGATGATAGGCCTTGGCCGCAATGTGGGTCTCTCCAGGGCCTAGATGCCAGCCAAGGCTGGGCTTCCCTCCCCTTGTGTGGGGCTGTCCTGGCTCCCCCTAGGACAGGGCCTGGTTTAGTGTGCCCTTGGATCAGCCAGTTTGCCATGCCAGACCCCCTAGTGCCAAATGTGTAGGGTCACATCCTCTTAGGCCTCCCATGGAATTTTTCAGGACCCAGCCTCTGTCACACCCCCTCCTCCTGCCTTAGGAAAGGCCAGCAGGCAAGGAATTCCAACAGATGTTCCTTTTGAGGCTAGAACACAAGCTTCTGTAGATAGCTCCCTCCCAGCTATATTACCAGAGACCACCTGCCATGCAGGGCTTTGTGCATCTATGCATGTATACACTCACACACACACACACACACAAGCTTCTTTCTGAGGAACTGTAACCGTCAAAGCAGGTTTGGGGGAGGGGGGAGCATTGAGGACTGAAATGTCAGAGGGTTGGCCC